TGTCAGGTTCTCTGTCAGGTTCTCTGTCAGGTTCTCTGTCAGGTTCTCTGTCAGGTTCTCTGTCAGGTTCTCTGTCAGGTTCTCTGTCAGCTGAGGTCGAGCTGTTTTAGTTTACATTGAGTTCAAGGAGACTTTTCTGAGTAGCCCTCGTGAATTTAGTCTGCAGTACCACAGCGCCCCCTGTGGCCGTAGGTGGGACAGCTGTAAGCTAGTAATACTGTATCCAGTTATTATTATAGATCCATGGGGCACTCTGACAGAAGCCCCTCCCTCCACCACCAACCACTCACACACACACCAGACTCATTCTAATGTGGGGGAAGTGTCTTGCCTAAGGACACAACTACAGTTTGGCACTTTACAGCCACAGCCGCCTCACTGTGGGTCCTGGGGTTTCTCTCGTCCTCCCTCAGTGTGGGTCGTGAGGTCTCTCTCCTCCCTCAGTGTGGGTCGTGAGGTTTCTATCCTCCCTCAGTGTGGGTCGTGAGGTTTCTCTCCTCCCTCAGTGTGGGTCGTGAGGTTTCTCTCCTCCCTCAGTGTGGGTCGTGAGGTTTCTCTCCTCCCTCAGTGTGGGTCGTGAGGTTTCTCTCCTCCCTCAGTGTGGGTCGTGAGGTTTCTCTCCTCCCTCAGTGTGGGTCGTGAGGTTTCTCTCCTCCCTCAGTGTGGGTCGTGAGGTTTCTCTCCTCCCTCAGTGTGGGTCGTGAGGTTTCTCTCCTCCCTCAGTGTGGGTCGTGAGGTTTCTCTCCTCCCTCAGTGTGGGTCGTGAGGTTTCTATCCTCCCTCAGTGTGGGTCCTGAGGTTTCTCTCCTCCCTCAGTCTGGGTCTTGAGGTTTCTCTCCTCCCTCAGTGTGGGTCCTGAGGTTTCTCTCCTCCCTCAGTCTGGGGCCTGAGGTTTCTCTCGTCCTCCCTCAGTGTGGGTCCTGAGGTTTCTCTCCTCCCTCAGTGTGGGTCCTGAGGTTTCTCTCGTCCTCCCTCAGTGTGGGTCCTGAGGTTTCTCTCCTCCCTCAGTGTGGGTCCTGAGGTTTCTATCCTCCCTCAGTGTGGGTCCTGGGGTTTCTCTCATCCTCCCTCAGTGTGGGTCCTGAGGTTTCTCTCCTCCCTCAGTGTGGGTCCTGAGGTTTCTCTCGTCCTCCCTCAGTGTGGGTCCTGAGGTTTCTCTCCTCCCTCAGTGTGGGTCCTGAGGTTTCTATCCTCCCTCAGTGTGGGTCCTGAGGTTTCTCTCCTCCCTCAGTCTGGGGCCTGAGGTTTCTCTCCTCCCTCAGTGTGGGTCGTGAGGTTTCTCTCCTCCCTCAGTGTGGGTCGTGAGGTTTCTCTCCTCCCTCAGTGTGGGTCGTGAGGTTTCTCTCCTCCCTCAGTCTGGGTCCTGAGGTTTCTCTCCTCCCTCAGTCTGGGTCCTGAGGTTTCTCTCGGCCTCCCTCAGTGTGGGTCCTGAGGTTTCTCTCCTCCCTCAGTCTGGGTCCTGAGGTTTCTCTCCTCCCTCAGTGTGGGTCCTGAGGTTTCTCTCCTCCCTCAGTCTGGGGCCTGAGGTTTCTCTCGTCCTCCCTCAGTGTGGGTCGTGAGGTTTCTCTCCTCCCTCAGTTTGGGTCGTGAGGTTTCTCTCCTCCCTCAGTGTGGGTCCTGGGGTTTCTCTCATCTTCCCTCAGTGTGGGTCCTGAGGTTTCTCTCCTCCCTCAGTGTGGGTCCTGAGGTTTCTCTCGTCCTCCCTCAGTGTGGGTCCTGAGGTTTCTCTCCTCCCTCAGTGTGGGTCCTGAGGTTTCTCTCCTCCCTCAGTGTGGGTCCTGAGGTTTCTCTCCTCCCTCAGTCTGGGTCGTGAGGTTTCTCTCCTCCCTCAGTGTGGGTCGTGAGGTTTCTCTCCTCCCTCAGTGTGGATCGTGAGGTTTCTCTCCTCCCTCAGTCTGAGACCTGAGGTTTCTCTCCTCCCTCAGTCTGGGGCCTGAGGTTTCTCTCCTCCCTCAGTGTGGGTCATGAGGTTTCTCTCCTCCCTCAGTGTGGGTCGTGAGGTTTCTTTCGTCCTCCCTCAGTGTGGGTCCTGAGGTTTCTCTCCTCCCTCAGTGTGGGTCGTGAGGTTTCTCTCCTCCCTCAGTGTGGGTCGTGAGGTTTCTCTCCTCCCTCAGTGTGGATCGTGAGGTTTCTCTCCTCCCTCAGTCTGGGGCCTGAGGTTTCTCTCGTCCTCCCTCAGTGTGGGTCGTGAGGTTTCTCTCCTCCCTCAGTGTGGGTCGTGAGGTTTCTCTCCTCCCTCAGTGTGGGTCGTGAGGTTTCTCTCCTCCCTCAGTGTGGGTCGTGAGGTTTCTCTCCTCCCTCAGTGTGGGTCGTGAGGTTTCTCTCCTCCCTCAGTCTGGGGCCTGAGGTTTCTCTCGTCCTCCCTCAGTGTGGGTCCTGAGGTTTATCTCCTCCCTCAGTGTGGGTCCTGAGGTTTCTCTCCTCCCTCAGTGTGGGTCCTGAGGTTTCTCTCGTCCTCCCTCAGTGTGGGTCCTGAGGTTTCTCTCCTCCCTCAGTGTGGGTCGTGAGGTTTCTCTCCTCCCTCAGTGTGGGTTGTGAGGTTTCTCTCCTCCCTCAGTGTGGGTCGTGAAGTTTCTCTCCTCCCTCAGTGTGGGTCGTCAGGTTTCTCTCCTCCCTCAGTGTGGGTCGTGAGGTTTCTCTCCCACAGTCTGGGGCCTGAGGTTTCTCTCGTCCTCCCTCAGTCTGGGGCCTGAGGTTTCTCTCCTCCCTCAGTGTGGATCGTGAGGTTTCTCTCCTCCCTCAGTGTGGGTCGTGAGGTTTCTCTCCTCCCTCAGTGTGGGTCGTGAGGTTTCTCTCCTCCCTCAGTCTGGGGCCTGAGGTTTCTCTCCTCCCTCAGTCTGGGGCCTGAGGTTTCTCTCCTCCCTCAGTGTGGTCGTGGAGGTTTCTCTCCTCCCTCAGTGTGGGTCGTGAGGTTTCTCTCCTCCCTCAGTGTGGGTCGTGAGGTTTCTCTCCTCCCTCAGTGTGGGGCCTGAGGTTTCTCTCCTCCCTCAGTGTGGGTCGTGAGGTTTCTCTCCTCCCTCAGTGTGGGTCGTGAGGTTTCTCTCCTCCCTCAGTCTGGGGCCTGAGGTTTCTCTCGTCCTCCCTGTTTGCAGATGGAGAGAGTGGGTGGTGGATCCTGCTGAACAGTTTTACTACATTTGGCTTCAGGTGATCATCTTCCCCATTGTCTACAACTGGGTCATCATTATCCTGAGGTAAACTCTGAGTCATCATGATGTAAACACTGACTCATCATGATGTAAACTCTGACTCATCATGAGGTAAACTCTGACTCATCATGATGTAAACACTGACTCATCATGATGTAAACTCTGACTCATCATGATGTAAACTCTGACTCATCATGATGTAAACTCTGACTCATCATGATGTAAACTCTGACTCATCATGATGTAAACTCTGACTCATCATGATGTAAACTCTGACTCATCATGATGTAAACTCTGACTCATCATGATGTAAACGCTGACTCATCATGATGTAAACTCTGACTCATCATGATGTAAACGCTGACTCATCATGATGTAAACACTGACTCATCATGATGTAAACTCTGACTCATCATGATATAAACGCTGACTCATCATGATGTAAACGCTGACTCATCATGATGTAAACGCTGACTCATCATGATGTTAACGCTGACTCATCATTATGTAAACGCTGACTCATTATGATGTAAACACTGACTCATCATGATGTAAACGCTGACTCATCATGATGTAAACACTGACTCATCATGATGTAAACGCTGACTCATCATGATGTAAACGCTGACTCATCATGATGTAAACACTGACTCATCATGATGTAAACGTAAACGCTGACTCATCATGACGTAAACGCTGACTCATCATGATGTAAACGCTGACTCTTCATGATGTAAACGCTGACTCTTCATGATGTAAACGCTGACTCATCATGATGTAAACGCTGACTCATCATGATGTAAACGCTGACTCTTCATGATGTAAACGCTGACTCTTCATGATGTAAACGCTGACTCTTCATGATGTAAACGCTGACTCATCATGACGTAAACGCTGACTCATCATGATGTAAACGCTGACTCTTCATGATGTAAACGCTGACTCTTCATAATGTAAACACTGACTCATCATGATGTAAACGCTGACTCATCATGATGTAAACGCTGACTCATCATGATGTAAACTCTGACTCATCATGATGTAAACGTAAACGCTGACTCATCATGACGTAAACGTAAACGCTGACTCATCATGATGTAAACTCTGACTAATCATGATGTAAACGCCAACTCATCATAATGTAAACGCTGACTCATCATGATGTAAACGCTGACTCATCATGATGTAAACGCTGACTCATCATGATGTAAACGCTGACTCATCATGATGTAAACTCTGACTCATCATGATGTAAACGTAAACGCTGACTCATCATGACGTAAACGTAAACGCTGACTCATCATGATGTAAACTCTGACTAATCATGATGTAAACGCCAACTCATCATAATGTAAACGCTGACTCATCATGATGTAAACGCTGACTCATCATGATGTAAACGCTGACTCATCATGATGTAAACGCTGACTCATCATGATGTAAACTCTGACTCATCATGATGTAAACGTAAACGCTGACTCATCATGACGTAAACGTAAACGCTGACTCATCATGATGTAAACGCTGACTCTTCATGATGTAAACGCTGACTCTTCATGATGTAAACTCTGACTCATCATGATGTAAACGCCAACTCATCATGATGTAAACGCTGACTCATCATGATGTAAACTCTGACTCATCATGATGTAAACGCCAACTCATCATGATGTAAACGCTGACTCATCATGATGTTAACGCTGACTCATCATGATGTAAACGCTGACTCATCATGATGTAAACGCTGACTCATCATGATGTAAACTCTGACTCATCATGATGTAAACGCTGACTCATCATGATGTAAACTCTGACTCATCATGATGTAAACGCGGACTCATCATGATGTAAATGCTGACTCATCATGATGTGAACAGGACGTGCTTCTGGTCCATCTCCCTGACCTACCTTCCTCTGTGGCTGGTCCTGGACTATCTCTGTGACCTGATGTATGTCGCCGACATGGTCATCACGCTGAGGACAGGTACGCACACTAAGCACAGGTACAGGGACTCAGACTGAGCACAGGTACAGGGACTCAGACTGAGCACAGGTACAGGGACACAGACTGAGCACAGGTACAGGGACTCAGATTGAGCACAGGTACAGCGACACACACTGAGCACAGGTACAGCTACACACACTGAGCACAGGTACAGGGACACACACTGAGCACAGACTCCACAGGTGACGTTCACCTCTGTCACAAAGATGACTCACAGGGACTCACACTGACTCACACTGACTCACAGGGACTCACACTGACTCACAGGGACTCACAGGGACTCACAGGGACTCACACTGACTCACAGGACTCACAGGGACTCACACTGACTCACAGGGACTCACACTGACTCACACTGACTCACAGGGACTCACAGGGACTCACAGGGACTCACACTGACTCACAGGACTCACAGGGACTCACACTGACTCACACTGACTCACACTGACTCACAGGGACTCACACTGACTCACACTGACTCACAGGGACTCACACTGACTCACAGGGACTCACAGGGACTCACAGGGACTCACACTGACTCACACTGACTCACAGGGACTCACACTGACTCACACTGACTCACAGGGACTCACAGGACTCACACTGACTCACAGGGACTCACACTGACTCACAGGGACTCACACTGACTCACACTGACTCACAGGGACTCACACTGACTCACAGGGCTCTCTCTATGGTTTAGTCCTAAAAGAACACCTGTGTTTATGAGGATGAGGTCTAAGACTCAGACTTCATGGAGTCCCTGGCCTCAGGTCTGGGTCTAGGTTTGGGTCTGGGTCTGGGTCTGGGTCTAGGTCTGGGTCTGGGTCTGGGCCTCAGGTCTGGGCCTCAGGTCTGGGTCTGGGTCCGGGCCTCAGGTCTGGGTCTCAGGTCTGGGTCTGGGTCTGCTTCTTGGTCTGGGTCTTGATCTTGGTCTTGGTCTGCGTCTGGGGGTCTGGGTCTGGGTCCGGGCCTCAGGTCTGGGTCTAGGTTTGGGTCTGGGCCTCAGGTCTGGGTCTAGGTCTGGGTCTGGGTCTGGGTCTGTGTGGGGACTGGCCCTGACCCTGGTCTCCGCTGCAGGGTTCCTGGAGCAGGGCCTGCTGGTCTCAGACCGGTCTCGGCTGAAAGACCGTTACCTCCGCTCCAGAGTCTTCCTGCGGGACCTGGCCTCTCTGCTCCCCACAGACCTGCTGTACTTGGCCTTCGGGATCCAGACCCCATTGGTCCGGATCAACCGTCTGCTCCGCACGCCGCGCCTGAGCGAGGCTCTGGACCGGATGGAGACCCGGACCTCGTACCCCAACACCTTCCGGATCTCCAAGCTCATGGTCTACATCTTCGTGCTGATCCACTGGAACGCCTGCCTGTACTTCGCCCTGTCCCGCTACATCGGCTTCGGCAGCGACCTCTGGGTCTACCCCAACACCTCAATCCCCGCCTTCGCCTCCACGCGCCGCCAGTACTTCTACTGCTTCTGGTTCTCGGCGCAGATCTTCACCACGGTGGGGGACACGCCGCTGCCGAGCCGAGAGGAGGAGTATCTATTCATGATCGCGGACCTCCTCATCGCCGTGTTGGTGTTCGCCTCCATCGTCGGGAACGTCGGGAACGTCATCTCCAGCCTCAGGGACCGCGACAACGTCTTCTTCCCCAACCATGAGCTGGTGAGACTGTGGGAGTCTCCCTCTGGTCTCTCTCTGGCCTCTCTCTCTGGTCTCTCTCTCTGGTCTCTCTCTGGTCTCTCTCTGGTCTCTCTCTTGTCTCTCTCTGGTCTCTCTCTGGTCTCTCTCTGGTCTCTCTCTGGTCTCTCTCTTGTCTCTCTCTGGTCTCTCTCTGGTCTCTCTCTGATCTCTCTCTGGTCTCTCTCTGGTCTCTCTCAGGTCTCTCTCTCTGGTCTCTCTCTCTGGTCTCTCTCTCTGGTCTCTCTCTGGTCTCTCTCTTGTCTCTCTCTGGTCTCTCTCTGGTCTCTCTCTGGTCTCTCTCTGGTCTCTCTCTAGTCTCTCTCTGGTCTCTCTCTCTCTGGTCTCCCTCTCTGGTGTCTCTCTCTCTGGTCTCTGTCTCTGGTGTCTCTCTCTCTGGTCTCTCTCTGGTCTCTCTCTGGTCTCTCTCTGGTCTCTCTCTGGTCTCTCTCTGGTCTCTCTCTGTATAGGGAAAATCTCTTCTAGCCCCTTTAAAAGCCATGTTCCAGCTTCTTCCCTCAGGCAGAGGATTGGGTTGACTGCAGGACATCTGGATATGCCAACATGCTAACAGTGTCTGCAGCTCCCTGGGGACTTGTGCACATGTTTCCACTGGGGTTTTACTGCCGTCTGACCTGGTACCTGTGCTCTCCTGGACCAGGTGAAGGCGTACCTGCGCAGCCACCACATCAGTAGAGAGCTGAGGACCAGGATCGACACATGGTACCAACACCTGCACATCCACAAGAAGATCACGAGAGAGACCGAGATCCTGCAGCAGCTTCCTCTGCACCTCTGCACCGAGATCGCCGTCAGCGTCCACCTGCCCACGCTCTCCAAGGTCTCCATCTTCAGCAGCTGCGAGACCAGTCTGCTGGAAGAACTGGTGCTGAAGCTGACCCCACAGGTGAGACCAGGGATCAGAGGGACCAGGTCAGACCAGAAAGACCAGAAAGACCAGGTGAGACCAGTCTGTGAGCGTCCACCTGCCCACGCTCTCCAAGGTCTCCATCTTCAGCAGCTGCGAGACCAGTCTGCTGGAAGAACAGGTGCTGAAGCTGACCCCACAGGTGAGACCAGAGGGACCAGGTGAGACCAGGTGAGATCAGAAAGACCAGAGAGACCAGGTGAGACCAGAGGGACCAGAGGGAGCAGGTGAGACCAGAGGGACCAGAGGGACCATGTGAGACCAGGTGAAACCAGGAACCAGAGGGAACAGGTGGGACAAGAGAGACCAGAGAGACCAGGTGAGACCAGAGGGACCAGCGAGACCAGGTGATATATACATATAGACAGGAGTTATATACTGTACATATAGGACAGAGTTATATACTGTACATATAGGACAGAGTTATATACTGTACATATAGACAGGAGTTATATACTGTACATATAGGACAGAGTTATATACTGTACATATAGGACAGAGTTATATACTGTACATATAGGACAGAGTTATATACTGTACATATAGAGCAGAGTTATATACTGTACATATAGGACAGAGTTATATACTGTACATATAGGACAGAGTTATATACTGTACATATAGGACAGAGTTATATACTGTACATATAGGACAGGAGTTATATACTGTACATATAGGACAGAGTTATATACTGTACATATAGGACAGAGTTATATACTGTACATATAGGACAGGAGTTATATACTGTACATATAGGACAGGAGTTATATACTGTACATATAGGACAGAGTTATATACTGTACATATAGGACAGAGTTATATACTGTACATATAGACAGGAGTTATATACTGTACATATAGGACAGGAGTTATATACTGTACATATAGGACAGGAGTTATATACTGTACATATAGGACAGAGTTATATACTGTACATATAGGACAGGAGTTATATACTGTACATATAGGACAGGAGTTATATACTGTACATATAGGACAGAGTTATATACTGTACATATAGGACAGAGTTATATACTGTACATATAGGACAGGAGTTATATACTGTACATATAGGACAGAGTTATATACTGTACATATAGGACAGGAGTTATATACTGTACATATAGGACAGGAGTTATATACTGTACATATAGAGCAGGAGTTATATACTGTACATATAGACAGGAGTTATATACTGTACATATAGGACAGAGTTATATACTGTACATATAGAGCAGGAGTTATATACTGTACATATAGGACAGGAGTTATATACTGTACATATAGGACAGAGTTATATACTGTACATATAGGACAGAGTTATATACTGTACATATAGGACAGGAGTTATATACTGTACATATAGGACAGAGTTATATACTGTACATATAGGACAGAGTTATATACTGTACATATAGGACAGGAGTTATATACTGTACATATAGGACAGAGTTATATACTGTACATATAGGACAGAGTTATATACTGTACATATAGGACAGGAGTTATATACTGTAACATATAGGACAGAGTTATATACTGTACATATAGGACAGAGTTATATACTGTACATATAGGACAGAGTTATATGTACTGTACATATAGGACAGAGTTATATACTGTACATATAGACAGTTATATACTGTACATAGGACAGAGTTATATACTGTACATATAGGACAGGAGTTATATACTGTACATATAGGACAGGAGTTATATACTGTACATATAGGACAGGAGTTATATACTGTACATATAGGACAGAGTTATATACTGTACATATAGGACAGAGTTATATACTGTACATATAGGACAGGAGTTATATACTGTACATATAGGACAGGAGTTATATACTGTACATATAGGACAGAGTTATATACTGTACATATAGGACAGGAGTTATATACTGTACATATAGGACAGGAGTTATATACTGTACATATAGGAAATACTGTACATAGGACAGTTATATACTGTACATATAGAGCAGGAGTTATATACTGTACATATAGGACAGAGTTATATACTGTACATATAGGACAGGAGTTATATACTGTACATATAGGACAGAGTTATATACTGTACATATAGGACAGGAGTTATATACTGTACATATAGAGCAGGAGTTATATACTGTACATATAGAGCAGGAGTTATATACTGTACATATAGGACAGAGTTATATACTGTACATATAGGACAGAGTTATATACTGTACATATAGGACAGGAGTTATATACTGTACATATAGGACAGGAGTTATATACTGTACATATAGGACAGGAGTTATATACTGTACATATAGGACAGAGTTATATACTGTACATATAGGACAGAGTTATATACTGTACATATAGGACAGGAGTTATATACTGTACATATAGGACAGAGTTATATACTGTACATATAGGACAGAGTTATATACTGTACATATAGGACAGAGTTATATACTGTACATATAGGACAGAGTTATATACTGTACATATAGGACAGAGTTATATACTGTACATATAGAGCAGGAGTTATATACTGTACATATAGGACAGGAGTTATATACTGTACATATAGGACAGGAGTTATATACTGTACATATAGGACAGGAGTTATATACTGTACATATAGGACAGAGTTATATACTGTACATATAGGACAGAGTTATATACTGTACATATAGGACAGGAGTTATATACTGTACATATAGGACAGGAGTTATATACTGTACATATAGGACAGAGTTATATACTGTACATATAGGACAGGAGTTATATACTGTACATATAGGACAGGAGTTATATACTGTACATATAGGACAGAGTTATATACTGTACATATAGAGCAGGAGTTATATACTGTACATATAGGACAGAGTTATATACTGTACATATAGGACAGGAGTTATATACTGTACATATAGGACAGAGTTATATACTGTACATATAGGACAGGAGTTATATACTGTACATATAGGACAGAGTTATATACTGTACATATAGGACAGGAGTTATATACTGTACATATAGGACAGAGTTATATACTGTACATATAGGACAGGAGTTATATACTGTACATATAGGACAGAGTTATATACTGTACATATAGGACAGGAGTTATATACTGTACATATAGGACAGGAGTTATATACTGTACATATAGGACAGGAGTTATATACTGTACATATAGGACAGAGTTATATACTGTACATATAGGACAGAGTTATATACTGTACATATAGGACAGGAGTTATATACTGTACATATAGGACAGGAGTTATATACTGTACATATAGGACAGAGTTATATACTGTACATATAGGACAGGAGTTATATACTGTACATATAGGACAGGAGTTATTATACTGTACATATAGGACAGAGTTATATACTGTACATATAGAGCAGGAGTTATATACTGTACATATAGGACAGAGTTATATACTGTACATATAGGACAGGAGTTATATACTGTACATATAGGACAGAGTTATATACTGTACATATAGGACAGGAGTTATATACTGTACATATAGACAGGAGTTATATACTGTACATATAGGACAGAGTTATATACTGTACATATAGGACAGGAGTTATATACTGTACATATAGGACAGAGTTATATACTGTACATATAGGACAGGAGTTATATACTGTACATATAGACAGGAGTTATATACTGTACATATAAGTTTGTGTAAGCTCTCAGTCGTACAGGGATTAGTCAAAGCAAAGGAAGGTTTCTCACCCATCATCTGTACTTTTCCCGACGTTTCGTCCTCAAACTAGCGGACTTCTTCAGGGAATGAATTCTCGTACCGCGCGTTGGAGATTTATAACCTATGGGTGTGGTTAGCAGTGTTGGGCACATTACTTTGAAAAAGTAATTAGTTATAGTTACTAGTTACTTCTCCCAAAAAGTAACTAGTTACCAGAAAAAGTAACTATTGAGTTACTTTTTTGTTTCTCGCCCCCCCTGGCCCCCACCTTCTCAGAGCGTGTTTCATAAGCCAGATGCATGACAACAAAAACAAGTACCTGCACACAGGTTTGCATTTATTGCAACTCAATGTAAACAATAGTGGATGGACATACACTTCTCAAAATATAAAAAAAGAGAAATACACAATCTTACAGACGCTTAAAACTGAAAATGTGTATGGATTTCTTCAATCCAACTTAAAGTGCATAAATGCATCCGTTCATTTTGCATTTGTGCAATCGTTTATCCACCCAGCCAACCCAGTTGTCGCACCAACAGCAAAGACAGTTACCTGCACAAATTTTCACTTAATGCAACGCTAACTTAACAGAACAAGTACACAACGGATGGACATAAAGTGCTCCAATTTTGTTACTTAAAGAAAGTAAATAGCTTACAGGAGTGAAAATTGAACTAGAAATGTTCATGGGTTTGTTAAATCCAACTCTAAACATGTATGCATTCCTCTCTGTATCCATCCACCCAGCCCAGTCATGTCAACATTTTAGCCCTGAAACCAGTGGTTGTATCGCAATAGAAGTAGCTTCTCAAACTTGTGGTCAGAGAGTCTGTTCCTTTTTGGTGTGAAAACCAGCTTTCCCAGGCTAAACAGTCTCTCCACCGGAGCACTGGATGGAGTGGCAGCATTATACTTCAGGGAAATTCTCTTTATAAGGGGAAATCCATGAAGTGAGTCAATCCCTTGGGCTCCTGATTTCAAATAATCTGCCACTTGACTTTCCACAGTAGCAGAAGTGTCATCCTCATCATCAAAGGAGAAGAATGCATCCTCAACAGTTGAGCTGGTACATGTGGGTGTGGTAGTGCTTGTACCTTTATGCTGGTCTTCACTTCTTACACTTGCACGACATACCGCCAGCAGCTCTGCTTTGGCCTTGTCCTTTCTTTCTTGGGTTCGCAGCCAACGTAATTTAAACCTGGGCAGAGTCACAGCAGCCAGGAGAGCGCTGTCACTGACCAGCACCTCTGCAAATCTTGTTTTTATTGCCTGAAATGACATAAAGCAAAGAACACATTACTGACCGTCTCTACGCAAATACCAACTGGCTCGCACAAGCACGCACACACACACTTTTGAGTACAATATATAAGACAGTATAAACAATTATGCACATTTATTATAATTATACACATCCATACAATTATACACATTACACATTGTTTTTTTTAAATAGACAG